AGTTTGATAATTGAATATATTCAACTCGGTATTTATTAACTACAAATCCCTTTTGCCTTCCATATTCCTTTAGATAATGTTCAGCAATTTCCCACGAACTAAATTTTGAATTAACAGATAATTCTATAGGATGTGTTAATGAAGGATAATTTGTAGAGTCAAGACTTTCTAATTCTGAACCAAGAATAATTTCTACGGGAATTTCAACTTCAGTTTCAATTTCTTGCTATTTAATAGATTAATAAATAAGTTAGCTGTTAAGCACATTAAAGTAATGCTATTTAATACCAATAAATTAATGCGCAATAATATAATGCTTTGTGACGTTAATTAATATATATCTAACGCTATTTAACGTCACCTAACTAATAAATAATGTACATTTAACGCTATCTAACTAATAAATAATGCTATTGATGTTAATTGTTAAGAAATTAACACTATTAAAACTCTATACCATATGCCGTTTACCCCAAATTAATTTTTTTTAAGCACTTTCAATAGTATTTCAGTAGTATTTCACAAAAAAAAAATGTGCGCAATTGACTAACCTGTGGAGTGTTATCATTTTCCATGTTTCACGAATCACTGCTTGAGCCGTGTAACCCAATTTCTTTATGATAATTGAACAATTAAAGTTTTTGAGCTACTTTACTAGTACATAAAAGTATTTTTAAATGTTAAGAAGCAACTTTAACGCGTTTTTAAGCAAAAAAACAGGTTGTTTTTTTTATTTAAAAAGAGTGTTAGAAAAAAAAACTATCGACGAAGCTATAAAATTGTTTATATTTATTGTAACACAATAATCGTGCTATATTTTAATTGGATTTATCACGTGATAAATAAAATGGGGGGTAGCGATGTCATCGCACGTGCGATGAATAAATTTTCTCTTATTAATAAATATAGTTAGACTTCCATATAGTAACATTTTATATAATTACATCATATAAAATTTCTCCTTATAATCACATCTTTGAGAAAATCCAATTTATATACTTATTATATAAAAAAACCTTTATATAATTACATCATAGTAAAAGCCTCTATATAGTTACCAATTTTTATAGAATTGATTAAATAACTATATAGAGATCTGACTGTACTAATAATAATATATAAAAAGTAAAATTATAAAACTGGTTATTAATTAAACTTACTATATATTTTAATATATATAATGATTTAAATAATTAATATAATGTATATTAAATTTTATAATTTTTATAATTGCAAAACTGATTAAATTTATATTAAATTATATAATTTATTATAATAAATGGTAAACTTTATTAATTACTATGTAAAAATATGTCTAAACCTTTTACAGTTTTACCAGTTTCATCAGTTTCGCAGTTTCACAAATTTTTAATTTTTTAATAAAATGTTTCAACTAGTTTCAATTTCAACAATTGTCTAAACTACTTAGTTTCGCCCAGCAACTTTACGGCTGGGGGAGGGAGGGTAAACTCTTATAATAAACTGATATTAGGTAATATCTGTCATTGCCCTAATCATTTACTAATTATTTCAAAAAAAAGTGACATAATTTTTGATAAAAAAAAATTTTTTTAAAAAATAAAACTTTTAAATATATAAATTTTATATAACCTTTAAAATTATAATTTATAGGTAATTTTATCTGCTTTACAAATTTATTTAATATTATTTTTAATAATTTACAATTTAAAAGTAAAAAATATCAAATTTCATGTAGAATGAAAAATAAATTCATTTTTTTTTATTTTTAGTTTATTCTAATTTCAATTATTTTTAACTTTAATAATAATTATTAAAAATCTGTAAAATTACATAAATTATAGATTTTTTCATTTGTATTTTAAAAAAATTTTATTTATTTTTAAAAAAAATTACTATAAAATTTTTAATATTTAAAATTTACCTTATTTTTTATTGTAATTCTATTGGCTGATTAATTAAAAGAAAAAAAAATTAAAATAATATAGTATAATATTAAAATTTTAATCTTTTGTCGCACTATGTGTCACTCATGATCACCTTCATACTAATTTTTAAAAATTGCGAGTGATTAGCTGAGTTTATAAATGACCAGGAATCTTTGTTTAGTTATTTTCCAGTCTCATATAGATAGCCAGGAAATTATTAATTTTAGTTTAAAATAGTTAAAATAGTTAATATTAATGAGTGATATACTTCAGGGGATTATCCATTTATTTTCTGGGAAGGAAAACAATAGGGCTTTTTTCCCTTCAGAAAGAAAACCCTATTATTTCCAACTTCCCATGAAATAAATAATACAAATAATTCATATATAACTTATAGTAAACTTAAAAAGTTAATATTTATAAAAATATTTTATTATTAATAATAATAGTAATTAAAATAAATTAACTGTAAAAATTTATTAAAAATTCAAAAAAGCAAAAAAAATAACTTAATACTAAGACTTATACTTTTTTTTTTTTTTAATAGCATTATATATTTTATTTGCTTATTTAATATTCCTACTTAGTGGTTTTTTAATATATCTAAAAATTGTTATTATTATAAGTGCAGTTATATGTAAAAAAATTATAGTTATAAAATTATATGATGATGAAATTATTGATTATCAAATTGATTTAATTTATGTAATAATAGGTTTTACAAATTTTTTTTCTTTTTTGTTTAACTGTCAACTATATATTTATTTTACTTTAAAATATTTACAAGTATTACTACTAATTCTTTAATAAAAAATATTAAAGAATATAATAGGATTCTGAATATTTCTTATTTAACTATTTCTCATTTAATTCAGTAAATATATAGTCAAATTTTTAATTTATAATAATTTAGTTAATATTAACAATAGAAATGTGATTTTATTATCATTAAATTCTTCTTATTAAGATGAACCCAAAATCTGATTAATAGGTTATTTAAAAATATAAGCCTAAAAATTTTATGACTAATAAGCAACTTTTACAATTAGTTTATTTATATATTATTTAAATTTCTAATATACAGTGCGCAAAAAAAAATAATTATAATAATATTTTATCTATTTGTGTAATAAATATTTATTGAAAATTCATAAAAATTTAAACATATATGCTTTATTATATTGCGAAAAAGTTTGACTATGCATAATTAATAATTTATCTTATTGCCATTACCCTTAATTATTTGTTCTAATCTTGATGGCATACTTTTAATTAAATTAATAAAAATCTCCAATTCAATTCCTTCCCACTCTTTTCGAATTATACACTGGAAAATATCTACAGTAATTGATTTTTTTTTTACCACCATAGTGGTATATTGTAAAGAATGGGATAGAGGTTAAAGAGTATAAACTTTTAGCGTTGTACCATTGTGGGTACCATTTTCCTATAATGTGGCTATCATTGTATGATATTGCGTAAAAATTCTATATGCTATTTTGCTATGGGTAAAACATAAATGAACATGTAAATAAAAAATGATCAGCATATATATATAGTATGTTTACTGTGTAACCAGGTAAAATTATTTGCCGAATGTGTATATTGCAAGAATTATTAAAGATTTTCAACATATAATTTTTATTATAATTATTTTTTTTGCGCACTATAATATTAATATTCTTATTATCAATAAAATTTAAATTTAAGTAAACAATATACTACTAATATATTTCATAAAAATAAAATTACAAATTATAACTTTTAAAGATTAAAATAAAATGATTTGAAATAATATAAATTGAAATTAAAATAACAAAAAGAATATCAGAATTTATTATTTAATTAAATAGTTAAAGTAAATTTTATAAAATATTTTATTTATACATTATATATATAGGATTTCAAATATCTTTTAATAAAATGTATTTTTTATAATAATATTAATACTAAAAATGTAATTTTACTATCATTAGATTTTTTTCATTAAGATGAATTTAATTATTAAATTCTAATTAATAGATTTTTTAAAAGTAGAAATATATAAAATAATAAAATTTTTTACCAATAATACTAAATACTTACTTATTTTTTTATTTTTTTTTTCTATTTCTTATTGTTAACTTATCTAAAAAATATATTTATATTATTGTAAAGCAACTTATTACCATTAGCTTAAAGATTTTATAAAAAATACTTAAAAAAAAATTGATATTGAGAGAAAAATTATTAATATTTTTTCTAAAAATATATTTTATAAACAACTTAACTTTTATTTTATTTTTTTTTTTGCTAATTGCAGTAAATTTATAAATTTATTAAAGTAAATATTAGTAATTATACATAAAGTAAAAAACTATATTCTACTCTAATATCATTAATTTACAAATCACTTATTATTCTTTAACAGTACTCTATGTATAAATATTAGGAGGCATATAGCACTCATATAATGGATTCATTACTTTTAACAAATCCACTAATTTCAAATCTATTTATGATATAACTTCATATAACAATTCCATTATTCAAATCTATTTATACAGCTTCTCTTAGACAAATCTGCATTATGAATCAAATTAGTAAAGAATAATAAATGCAAAAATGAAGATACTAATGAAGAATTTTTATTTTTACTCACCCCATGTGTAATGTTTAAATCTCGCCTTTTTTTCAAAAAAGGATATTTTGTATACGATCATTTGATTCTGGCCAGAATTAAATACGTCACGTGATTTAATGAAAAAACTCCCGAAAAAAAAGTTTTGTTCAAAACCATCACTGTTGCTTTAAGTGAACTTGCAAAGTAGGGAAAATACACATAGTAGACATTTTTTAAAAAAGTTTGTATATTAAGAATTTCTTTTTTGTTACAGAATGCGAAATCTTAACATCATACATATACATTTCCTTATATTTTTCCTATATTTATTATTATTAAAAAGAAAGCTAAAGATAAATTTACAATAATATTCACATATGGATTAAAATTAACTAAAAAAATAAATAAAATGTCACTTAACAATCTTAAGAATTGCGTATCTTTAGGGCTTAGTATAAATAACAAAAGTTTATCGCCTGCGCCATTCATGAATATTGTTTATCGTAGTAAAGCCACTTAAAATAATTTATTAAGAAAATGACATTTTTTTGATTAGTCACATAATTACAGCCCACTTTGAGGCTTTAATTTGTTTATTTTATGATGTTTATTGGGATATGAAGATTCACTTGTAACAATTGAAGTTCATGGCCGCGACTAAATTAATTTAAAACATAGTCCTTTTTTTGCAAAAAATACCAAGTTTTTAAACCAAATAATTAACAATAATTATGAAAGAAAATATTAATTACGTATTACTTACAGATTCAACAGCATCGCTCGTAGATGATAGCCCAAGAAATTGGTCGGCGAAGAAAAAAAGAAATGTTTTAATTCTCATATCGGCTACCGGTATAATTGGTTCTATAGGAAATTTGTAAATTTCACATTATAAGAATTGATACAATTTACAAATTCCTTTAATCTAATGTAGAATTATTTTTCTTATGCTCTCAGATCATTTAATCCGGCAATATTGATGGTACGAGAAGATTTAAATACCACGGAAACTCTAGTAAACACGGCTGTAGCATCATATCTGTACGTTAACGGAATCGCGGTAAATAATATTATCTTATAAACTTAGATTAAAATCGCAATCTAAAATTTTAATTAAATTTTAGCCATTATTTTGGGCGTCATATTCTGATTTACAAGGAACAAGAAGAAAAGTGTTCTTATTTAATGCATTTTTAATAATATTAACGAGTATTGGGTGTGCATTTGCAAATAATATTTATTGGTTGATAGTATTTCGTATGCTCCAATCTTTTTCTGTCTCAGCCGTTCAATGTCTTTCCGTTGGAACACTCACTGATATATACAACACAACCGAAAGAGGAAATGCTATTGGAGTATTTTATCTCGGATTTTTTATTGGTCTAGTAATCGGACCACCGATAGGAGGATTTCTAACTCAATATATAAGTTGGAGATCGCTATTTTGGTTTATTGCTATATTCGCGACCATAAGACTTTTCTTGATATTTATCTTTTTACCTGAGACATATAATAAATCTAGTACAACAAATTCTTCTCAATCAGTTTTCAATCCATTGGCACCAATTTTATTATTACGTCATGCAAATGTTACATTAGTGATTTTATATTGGATATGGATTATATCAATTCATTACGTGGTTAATATCTTAATTCCAACTAAATTTCACTTAATTTATGGAGCTGCTACATCAGAAATTGGATTAATTTTTTTGGCTCCCGGTGCTGGACTAGTTTTGGGTAGTTTTGCTGGAGGTAGAGTATCAGACTTTCTACTTAAACGGAATATTAAAAAACGTGATGGTAGTTATTATCCCGAATTGAGATTACATGGAGCTTGGTGGGGTGCTTCCTTAATACCATTATGTTATTTTTGTTTTGGCTGGTTCATTGAATATGAAGTATTCATTGTCTATCCTGTCGTTGCTATGTTTATTGGTAAGTTGAACAATTAATTTTATTCTCGATAATTATATATTTGATGTTTATTTTTTATTTAACAGGAGCTTTTGTATCGCAAATTGCAACAAATTCATGTGAAACATATTTAATTGATTCGTATCCAAAAAGTAGTGCTTCAATTGTTGCTTTGTCAAATGTTTGTAAATGTATAGTAGCTCCGAGCATGTTGATAGCTGCTTCTCCAATAGATCATTCTGTTGGTACTGGTTTAACATTTTCTATATTAATTTTAGTAAATTTATTTACACTATGTTTGTTAATTTTAGTATATTTTAAAGGAAAAGAATGGAGAGAAAAAGAGAGATCGTAAAAAAAATGTGTACATGACATTATTAGGTCAGGATTTTTAAAAATTACTTAGTTTTATTTGTATTGCAAAAAGACAAATAGAATTTATGTTTAACAGCTTATAATAGATCAGTATAATAAAGAAATAAAATTTTTTTTTTAAAGTGCATAATGTGTTAACCCGACCTGATTCAACCCCCTCGAAACAAATTAAGTGGCAGTCAGGAATTGTCGTACAGTATACAGACTATACATTACATTTTGTAAAGCCCAAATATACGTTATAGGAGCTACTATTTTTTTTTTTAACCGGTTAATAGATGTCTGAATATTATGATTAATGTTAATGTGATATATACCACTGAGTAGCGGGGAAGGAACTGCCACTATATGGGCAGGCTTAACAAGCAGGCGTGTCCTTTCATGCCTTTCCTCCCTTGAAACACCCTGCTATTCTATCATTTTTTACTTTCATTTTTTCTTAGCCAGCAGGCTCTTTTTCATGTATTACTTTACGAAAAAAAAATAAAGATTTTATTTCGAATTTTTAAACGTGTGTATTTTACAAGGAATAATAACCAGGGAATATATTTTAGCATTTACAGAGATGAAAAAAAAATAATAGACAAGTTCAACAGCGCTTTCATAATGCTAAATTTTACTAAAATTTTAAAACGCTATCCTATGTTAAAAACAGACTAACTCTGCTTTTGTTCTTCTAAACTGCCGCCATAATTAACATTAGTAACATTCGCATTTTGTGAAAAGGAAGGAGGAAATTTAGGCCCTTCTATGGATGGCGTCACTGGTCTTGATGGTGACTCCTTGGCAACTTTTGAACTGTAGAACTCTTCTAACATTTTATATGGTGCAGTATCCGTCTGACGATTAAGAAGATTCAATATTGCGTAATATAAAATTATTTTTTTGCCATTTACGGATTTACCTATAATATTACACTATCGATTTACCCACTGCGCGTGAATCCGCAGTTACGCCACATATATCAAATTATGGAATTGGGATTGATGTTTGGGAAAAGAGATCATTCAAAAAAATATGTAAGGAGTAATAAATAAAAATGTCGTATACAGCTATGCGTACTGCACAGTAATTGTATAATTTTTCCGATTTTGATATGTTAACCAGTGATTATAATAATAATAAAGATAATTGTAATAATGCCAAACAATAGGATTTCACACATTCTAAGTCCCTAGAATACTTATAAAAATGAGAAATCCAGAAGGTGTGATAATACTGTCTTTGTTTAATTGTTTTTAAAAACTTAAAAACTGGGATCCATTTTTATTGATAAATTATTCTAATACCTTTTTTTTATTATTAAATGGCGAGATTTATCAAAAAACAAACGGTAAATGTATTGACAGTAATCAGGTGACACTGTTACATGGTATAAGGTTCAAGGTCCGTCCACCAAATATTCCAATCTTACTCAAAATTCGTGGACCAAGGCAATTAGCTCTGAAAATTCTCAGAAAAAGTATGTATATTTTTGCCTAATAGAGAAAGGGTTCGAAGCAGTAAACGATATTTGCCATATTATTGGCGAATGGTACAATATCGTATTAGAATGCTACAACGATGGATTAGCAGAAGATAGGAAATTTGACAGTTTTATAAATTGTATAGTCTAGTATCTAATGATGAAACAATTAAGAAATGACTTTCTGATATACTTGGAAATGAGGGGATGAGTGTGCAAGATTTAAATTTATTAGTTCAATATAAAGCGATTCAAAATAAAAGAATCCATAAAAATAAACTAAAAAGAACAGCTACAGGACAACTTCATAAGTTGCATAGATCCCTCAGGTTATTGCAGATAGCTCCCGATCAACCGGAAGATTTTGGAGATCATTTGAAAAATGCATGACATGATTTTATGGATGAAACTAATTTTTATATTTTATCTCTAATAAATTCATTAAAAATATTTTGCTGTAAATGTGACTAAATAATAACATATCCATGCTCAAGATTCGCTTTCCAACATTTCTAAGACTTTAGTAAAATATTCGCCAGCTTCTGTATGTTTGTAAAATCTACAAACTGTCTTCAACATAAGTTCGTCCGCTTCAGTCAATTCCCTCCCCCCGTGGCGCAATGGGTAAATCATCATAATCATAATCACTAACTGGGCTCTCCGGTAATAATTAGATAATTTTGAACCCTTTATCTAATAATCACACAGGATCTTTTCACGTTCGTAAAAATTAAGATTCCCCGTGTTTTTATTTTCATTGACTCTTCCTTTAACAAGAACATCATGATAAGATAATTTTTGGTATTAATTATTGGTATAATTTCATTTTTCATCTCTTTCTTCACATAAACATCGTTTTTTATCCTTGACTTTTTCTTTAACAAGAAAAGAAAATATGTTAGGACAAGAGAAAATATAATTCAATAGTCTGATATTATTTTGATATTAATTAAAGATACGTGGTTTTAGTTCATCTTCGATGTAAATTCTAACTACAATCGAATTGTGGTAACATACCTAAATTCAATTTTTCATTTTCATCATCGGTAAGTCTACAACGCTATCAATATGGTTCATAATCAAGTGTTGACTTAGCGCATCAGGAGAACCAAATTGCAAACAATTGCAAATTGGACACTAAAAAAAAAGGTCACCGCGATTATTTCAGTCACCTCTGTACTTATAAAACAAGGTAACGGGTAAAATATTGATTACCTTGAATGGTTTTTATTGGGTGTGTTGACGTAAATGCTCTGCAAAATAAAATTATAATTATTATTCTAGAGAATCTACGGAGCAAGTAAAGCTAAAAAGTACTTGACATATTTTTATACCTTCTAGTTTAATAATACTACTTTGATATTTATTGCAACCTTTCCACGGACATATATAAATTGAGTCTCCTGAAATTGATCTTTTGCAAGAATTGATGTCGTGTTGAATGATATGATTTCTAAGTTTCTCCTCAGTTTCCAAGTGTTGTGGATCTGAATGAGTACCTAACCATTTACAGATGAATGAAGTTAAATTAGCACTTTCAGACATGCTAGTATGGGAAATATAGACGAACCTATTGATTTTATGTCGCTGATTTCACAGATATGGGCATGTGATTGTGTATCAGTCATTTATTATTAGCGTATTAATAAACCGGTCAAGAGTGCGTCATGCTCGAAAGTTCTGGCATATTTTTTATTACGCACTTGAATTATTATGTGGTGATTCGCAAATAAAGTAGAGAAAAAAATTTCCATTTTAGAATCCAGGATCCATTTACGCATGTTCGGGTTCTAGATAGCATAGAATAAGAAGAACTAATGGGAAATTACTATTCGGAATCTTAAGAAATGGGAAATTATTTCTTTTCAACTTCATGAAAGGCAAAAAAGATAAAAGCAAGAACTTTCCTCGCCCTGAAAACAAATAAGAAAGTTCTCTACTTCTTAGACGAATCACCACTTAATTGCCGATCCGCATGTGATCGATAGAACAGATATAGTAAATTACGGCGTTATGTTTAATAATAAAAAAACGCGTCTAGAAATCTTTTTTCCCCATGTCAAAATCCCACATTACTACAGGAAAACTTGTTGCAACTGGTAGTATTGTGCCAGAACTCCATTATGGTCCATATTTACGTGACTGGTGGATTTTTTCTAATGAAAAAATTCGAAAAACAAACATATTGTCCTATTCCTTTACGCTTAGGACTTGAAGTTATATTGGGAAAATTTTTCTGCCACTTATCCTGATGGAATGAAATGTGAAAATTGATTGAATTTCCATGTACTGCCGATCATGTGGATTGTATTAATCATTGCATTTGGAGAATGCACATTTTCACAATGTCAAGAGTGTGACAAAACGTGTTATTTAGTTCATCAAACTCGTAAAGCATTATCTAAATTCTATTTTATGTGATGATCATGGAGCCATTATTGTAGTTGATACAAATGCGAATTTTACTATGTTATTAGTTTATATGAAAAGATATTTATATAGTCTTATACTAGTATTATTTCTTATTTCTTAATTTATTAACCAATAGGATTACATATAATAAGATTTCTGATAAATAATTTTAATAATTTTTATTGTTTTTTTATATTATATAATCATTTATTTTAAAAAAAGGCAAGTAAATTTAATATTAAAAAAAAATATATATTTTTTATTTTCATTAAAATCATTTTTTTTAAAATAATTTATAATTTTTACATTGTAAATTAAATTATAAATTGTCATACGTGTTCACCGATCCAAATTGTATAACAGGTAATGGGTTAAAAGTTTAATCATTTAATTTTTTTTTTTACTCGTTTAATTTTTAATTTAATAGAAACAAGCACACCAATACATTAATAAAATTGGAGTTCCATTTTTATCAGGAATTGTGGTGTCAGTGAAATAAAAATCACAACATTTGTCTTGTAAATCGAATTTCTTGTATTGTCCTTTCCAAGAGTCATGTACGGTAGAACCTTCAGATTTGATAAGATCTACAATACCTTTAATGAGCTGATCAACTTCAGCAGAAGATAAAGTTAAGTTGTCGAACTTGGTCTATTAAAACATTATAATTAGAATAATTAGAAAGATTTTATCGAAAATTAGAAAATATAAACACAACATTATACCTTTAAATATCCAGCAAAATCGAAATTTGTAATATCTGCATCATAAAGAATGCTGTCTTCTAAAGCACCAGCTTGCGATGATTCAGAAGGATGTGTAGTTTCACCATTCCATTGATAATTTAATTCTTTTAGCCATTGTTGATGGCAGTATTGTTTAATGAAAGTTGTACTTTCTTTGATTGCTAGAAAGACATCTTGATTTTCATCGGTTGTAGAAATGAAAGCTGGTTTTCCAGCCAATCGAGCAGCTAGTTTATGTAATTCAAAAACACTTGTAGGTTCAGCAAGTTTGACGACGACGTTAATATATTCACTAGTTGATTTGTCGGAAAGCATTGTTTTTTGTTTTTTATAGAGAGGTTTTATTTTAATTATTTGGATTTCTTGCTCATTTTATAAGTGTTTGTGAGCAGTGACCTCATTATATCGTATTTGTGGCGCTTTTAGCCATAAAATAAATTAAATCAAACAGGGAAGAATTTTAATTTAATTTTTGGGCTTTCACCTGCATCTGTATATAGTACACGGGGTCTTATTCAAGAAAAGCTACAGTCAACTCAATATTACGAAGTGGGCGTCTCGTTATAGGACTATTCGTTAATATGATGGGAAAATCTGGTATAACCTGGAAAATTTTGATATATTATGGTATATTATATAATTTATAATGTAAAACGTAAGTTACACAAAATATCTTCGAAAAAAAAAATCGTTATAAAAGTTAAAAAGGGGCATACGGTTTATAAAATTTACTCCGTTAAACGGCATTTAATTAGTAAAATTCGATATTATGAGATTTTTTTTATATGTTACAAGACTTTAGTATACGCAGCGCTGCACGGCCTAGAAAAAATATTACGTAATATATATTCTCCTAAACCTGCTCCTAAACCTGCATGATTTAAATGATTTAAATGAGGGGTCATGTTTATTTTCTTGCTTCTTAAGGTATGATCTTCACTTGAACATCGACTCATGAAAATTCCAAAGTACTGTTGTTATCTTAATATCTGTTATCTATTTATATATTATTATTAAAAAATAATTTCGTATTTTCTACGCTAAGAAATTGTAAATATGGGTCGCAGATCTAAAAACAATAATAAAAATAACCAACCTCATACTCAAGCCAGTGTTTCTACATATCAACCAAATACTCAAATACAAACAACTGAACCTCCGAACAAACGTAAAAAACGTATTCAACCGGTTGAACAAACTACTCAGGTACAAGTGCCTAGGCAATCAGTTTTTGATCGCCTTGGCACTAAAAATTCAGGCGCTGCGCCCTTACCAAGACAGCCCACAATCAAAAAAGAAGTTAAGGAACACCTGTCTGGGATTGAAACTCGTAAATCAAGGAGAATTTCAGACGCACGGAAGGTGATTATGACGACTGTATAATGGCATATAATTGTAGGATGTTGGCTGGACACAAATTTATTGATTGTTACTTTAAATATTAAAGGCTGAACGTGAGCAGTTAGAGGGTGAACCTAAACAAGAATCAACACAGGACGATAAGAATAAATCTGAGGGTGGTACTAAGAGGAATACGGCAATTTCTAAAATTAATCCCAATAATACCGTAAAAGGTGGAAAGCGTGAAGAACCTAGACCACTACGAAGAAACTCACACAAACAACTTGAACAAAAACAAACTGTAGGGGAAGATGACTTTCAGGAATCAGAAATTCCCTCAACTTCAAAGTAAGAGTTGTAGATCAAAATAATTTAAAGGTTTATTGTTATTTGATTATGCGTTAATTATTTAATAAAAAAAATAAAATAAAAATAAATAGTGCAAGGGACATACAAAGAGAGGAAATGGAAGATAATACAAAAACTTTTCAGGAAATGCCCAAAGCTGATATTTCACCACAGTCACCTGCAGAATACAATGTTCAAAATGCCGAACGAGTCTTAAACGAGATTAAAGATGGTGGGAATGATGAAACGTCAGAGAATTTTGTCGGTTCGACCGAGTTTATTGTACAACAACAAAATAATGCTGTATATGAACATATTTCTGGGTTAGCGCAATCTGATCATGAATCAGATATAGCAAAAGAAGATGTCGTATCGATCCAAGCTGATGATGATTATTTGATGGGCATTGAAGACGAAGATCAAGAAGACCCTTCGTTTATGGGTGAACAATTTGCGGATCAAGAATTTGGCGAATCAGACCAACTTTTTACTTCACGTAGTGATAGGAATATGTCACCTATTCCTGATTCATATAAAGATCGTGAAAGAAAGGAACACGGAAGAAATAAGGACATTGATAACAAAGAAATACCATCAAGAATTCGTAATCGTGCTACAAATTCTGACGATGGACGTAATTCTGATAGGAGCTATGACCGTCCCAGCCGGGAAACTTCTATTCAACAGTCTCACGTAGATGATCGTAGAACCCGACTATATGAAAGAGATATTCGTGAACGCGAAAGAGAAGAAAGATATAATCGTGCAATAGCTACTGATCGAGCGCATGACGACAGAAGTTTCGACCGAGATAGACGAGAAAGAGAACGTCAAGATAGGTATAATAAAAGTTTGTTGGAAGATAAAGCCCATTTGGATATTCCGCGTCGAAACGAAAGGGATCGATTTCAACGCGAATTTGAACGGAATCGAAATGATCATGGTAGCCGAACCCCTAATGCTGAAACTTCTTCAAACAGTACTATCCGAGGCGCTACAAGTAGATCTCCAAGCGACTCCGACAAACCTCCAAGTAGAACACGATCACCTGAAAGAATTAAGAGAGAAGATCGAGAACTTCGGCCACGTGATGATGTTCGCGAATGGCAACCGCATCAAGATTTCCAAAGAGATCGTGATCGAATATCCCGACAGCGTGATGATTTGTCTAATAGAGATCGCGATCCAAGGATCAGAGATTTGTCAAAAGAAAAGGAAATCTCTTCTAGAGATCTTAAAGTGCAAGATAGAGATTCATTAAATCTCCGCAGAAATGACCAAATAGATGTTACTTTTCGGCGTTCAGATGAAAGAATATCTAATGCTCGTAGACTCGATGATCCTCGTAATGTTGGTATTCCTGAGAGAAATCCAAGAGATCCTCCACCTCGCGATCGAGAGAAGGATGGTCATTACCACCGTGATCAAGCTTTAAGACCAGAGCCAATTCGAAGAGATGAACGGCAACCAGCTGTCCGCTCTAAGAACGAAACTCAAAATGATTCTGTTTACCAAGATAATCGAGATAAAGAACCTAGACAACGAAATATCCAGCCTAACGTTCTTACTGAACATGATCGACCTGATAAAAGAAAGAGGGAAGACATCGAACTTAATGAGCGTAAGGCTTATTATGATCGGGAACAAAGGGGTGATGCAAATTCTTTCAATCAACGTCTTCCTGACTATCGTATCAGGGATAAAGAGAGAGAGCAACGCCATCGTGAAGATTATCCTTCTAAAGATGGTAATCGAGTTGTAGTAAATAGAGATCAGGATAGAGATTTAACGAATCGTAAAGAAGACCGAATGTCGCCCACCCATGATCGTAATGTCGGTATACCTGACCATTATAGACCTTTATCGGACCATCTAAAAGAACCTGATCGTCGATCACTTCGGGAGTACGAAAGAGACTATAACATTGATAAGTATCGTGTTGATTATGATCGGGATATGAGAGATCGAGTTCGTGATGACCACGAAAGTCGGAGTAACTCCGTTGAGAGAACGGATCCGCAAAAGCATTTGTATGATCGCCATCAACGAGAATTGGAAAAAAGACGGGATATGGAAGATGATCCAGTGCCTCGTACAAGTAGGTCTGAATCTACGCGACGTTCTGATACTGAGAGACCTGCTCAAACTCTCATGGACAATCAACGTGATAATATTCGGGATTATTCGCAAGAAGCACATATGCAAGAAGAAAAAAATAGAGATCCTCAAGACCAATTTATAAAGGAGTCGAAAAGAGTTCCAGTAAACGAGGATGAAGATTCTTTACCTCCTCATCCCTGGATAAAATGCAAGTCTAGTAGGAACAAAGATTATTATTTCAATACACAAACTCGTGAATCTCAATGGAACTATCCCGAAACAGGGAAAAATCGGCAGACTCAAAATGATGGTAACAAAAACATCGATTATGATCCTCATAAAGATGAGGATGAGCCTCGTAAAAAGATCCGTTTGAATGAAAACGGTGAGAGTGTCGTGGCAAATTCAGACATTAATCCTCAAATTGGGCACGAAGATAAAACTTCGACCGTTAACGAAAATGACTCTATTAATAAAGAAGTTTCTTTAAAAGATGAAATTTCATTTGATCAACAGTCAGAGCTATCGTCTAGACTACCTCGAAATAACTCTACTTTTTTGTTTTCGCCCTCATTGCCACAATCTCAACCTTCTCCCGGAGCGTCGGCGGCATTCTCACCTCCACATCGTTCAATTTCTTCCGAATATAATGAGCGCCGATTTAGTTCTGATTATGGGATACAATCAAGCCCACGAAGAGGTTCTTATGTTGGACCTCAACCACATTCTCCTCAAATGTCTTCTTTAAGATCGAATCCAGGTCCATTTAATCGGGGGGGTTCTGTTGATATATACGATCGCAATGACGGATTCCGCAATGATGAATTTATCTCTAGTCGTTCACTCGGTGACCCACGTAACATCTCTAGTCCAAGCGGTAATAACAACAATGGATTGACACCAACATTTCCTGGGTCTCCAATTCGTTCAAATAGGTCGGGAATGTATAATTCGTTTGGGATTGAACAAAATGTTTCACCGGGAAGTAGGCGTTCTGGAGTTGGACGTGAGTTACCAACATTTACTCAGCCTCGGGTGAGAACTGTTCACGAAGAAGAACGTCAGTATTGCGGTGAAGAGCAAAGTATGAAAGTGGAAGAACTTCCCACTAATGAAGTTCATAATCACGAAGTGGAATCTGGTAATCAAACGACAGTCGGCCAAGGTTATGAAACCTTCAATGAACAAAATGCTGACGAAGAATCTGACGAAGATACTTGGCGGTCAGACGAACCTGTCGAATATGGAACGGCCGAGACTGAGCCGGTCTCCATCTTCCTGTTCCGTCGTGCAAGTTCAAGAGTGAATCAAGGTGGGGTCAAAAAGAAATTTTTGAATCCAAGAAAAGAATATGAGGTAGTGAAATCCATTTGTGGAGGCAAGGGAATGCACCTATTCAAAGTAAGCTATTAATTTATAGAGTCATAATTGTATATCATACATCAATACTAATTTTATTCTCCTTATGGTTATAATAGCACTCTTTTGCCACCGCACATTCGCGTCGCGAATGAGGCACAGACAAAATCTAATCACGTGATTACACGTAAATTTTAAAAGTAAATCTTTGATGAGAAAATGTTTTCCCATTCCGATAGAAATTATTAATTTATAAATTTAACAAGGCTCGTATTACGAATCTAGTATTAGATTTTTCATCCGGTGAATGAAAATAATATGAATTTTATTTTTCCGGAACATATATACTCAAACAAAATACATCAGAGACAAAGTTATTGACTTTGACGACATTGATTTTCAGTTTCTAATTTAGACGTCGAAGAATAAATTAAGACAAGGAAAAAACATTCCTATCCAATAATATTACTAATAAATTTGCAATTGTTCATTTATGACAATTGTTCCTCATAAAAAGTACCGATTTTTGTCTTTGTGATGTTTTTCCATAAAGTCATTGCGTGACCAATTAGATTCGTAGTGATATTTTCCGCAGTAATACAAATTCTTAATTTGTCTACAATAACAGTTAACCTATGTTTTTGTAAGGATTCCTTTTTCGTATTATCAATAGATGTTTATGTAATTGCGTAATTGTTCTCCGTAAATTGGGGTAAGCTGGGTATCGGGTAATTTATAGTTGTTTTAGGCAATTACATGTGACTATTGATTTGGGCTTAGATAACCTATAAAACGGGATACTTTTTTTTGATAAACCTTAGCAAGCTCTTTTTTGACTGGTATTTTTTTCTTAAAAACAAAATAAAATAAAAATAGGTAAATTATAACGATTTTTTCATAAATATTTTAATAATTTAATTAAATAATTTTTTAAAGTCAACCATGACAGAACAAAGTCAACAAGAAGCTTTTACAAATGCACTCACAAAAGAATCGAATGATATAGGCCAAAACACGTCAAAGGTTAATGTGGAGAATAAAAAAGTAACAATAGAAAACGAAAATTCGGGGCAAAACTTGTTAGAAAAAAATAAAGATTCAGAAGAGAATAAAATTGATATGAATTCAATTAATGACATGGCCTCTTCAACTGGCGAAACTAAGGAAGACGAAAATCCGGAAAAAAACTTATTAATAGAAAATAAAAACTTGGTCGAAAATAAAAGTGATACGACTTTGGTCAATGACACAAACGATCCCTCTTCAACCAGTGAAATTGTGAATATGAAGGAAGACGAGAATCCGGAAGGAAATTTGTTAAAAGAAAATAAAAATTTAAACGATAACAAGAGTGATACAACTTTGATTAATGGCACAAATGATCCCCCTTCAACTGACAAAACTGTGGATCGCAAAGTAACAATAGAAGAAGATACGGAAGATAAAAATTTAGACGATACGAATTCAAAAAATGATGCAAATAATTCTACCGCTTCGACCAGCGAGACCGTTGACGTAGCAATTCCTCAGCAGAAGAAGAAGAAGAAGAAGAAGAAGAAGAAGAAATCTGGAAATGATGAGTCTAATTTAGATTTTCATGATATTGGACCAATTGAAGAAGATGAGAATAGACTCTATGATCCGTACGTTGAAATTGCAAAATTTTGTTCAATCCGCCATATAAATTTTAAACTAACCTTAAAGTGATGTTCTTTATTTTTGAATAGATCGAAATCACTAACACATCGCGTGGAAATAGCTGTTCAGAAATATAAAAAGAACCGTAAATTTACTTCTACTCGGAATCAGGTTTTCAATTCTTATCTACGTTTCGGAGGAATTAGCACTGGTCCTAAGTCTTTCTTAGGTCAAGATGGACTCGATAACGCAGACGCTGACGCAGAAGAAATTGCTGCACGCCGCGCAACAGATTATATTGACGATGAAGCAGATGACATGGAAGTAAACTTCACGTACATTGTTCGCGTCTACTTGTCTAGCTTTTTAATCGATAAATCTGGTTATGTTCAAATGGACCAATTTCGCGAAGGACCTCAGGTTGTGATATCATTTTTAAATTATTTACATAACCATAAGGTATGTCCGGAGTATGAAGAAGATATGCAAATGGCTTTGCAAATCGCTCACAAAGCAAAAGAAGAATTACCAAATTGCAAAGCGTTCGCACAGAATGCGCCAGGAAAACTCAACAAGGCGTGTTCTTTATTATTCGGAGGAGAATTATATGGTATGCTTGATGATCCTTGGAATGGAGAAGAAATTGTAGCGTCAATGATTGGAATATCAAAGGGGGAAGGAAAACAACTCATTAGAGAGTTATTTGGCGCTAATGCAGTCGAAGAGTTGACCCGAGTTAAAGAAGATTCTAAAACCGCTTTGATATGTGAAATTATTGGAGTTGAACCTTTTCAAAGGGATATATCGGAGGCTTCCGCAGATGAAACCCTTCAAAATTCTAATGAATTACACAACACGCAAGAAACTGATCTCAAGAAAATAAAGTTACGTGAATTTGATGTGTCTACTGCGGAACCTTTTTATATCTGTGTAAATTCAGATTTAGGAATTTATGCTATGCCCGGAATGCGTATCACTGCCGATTTTCATAAGTTATCTAATGGATTTTGGTATTGGGATAAAGTAACAAATGTATATCCTTCATATTATCAACCTTGTGAAGATGATTCCGATGATGATGATTAAATTAAATTTTAGATTTTGCATTATTCTATTTTTTGTTTTTTTTTGTATTGTTTTATGTAAATTCTATTATAATAAAATCCCAATAAAGTAATCAAATCACCATCATGATAAGATCTTGTTGATCCAGCCAGATTTATATTATTTATTGTTTGCGAATTAATTTGAACATATGAAAAATGTCTCACTTGGGAAATACACATTCTTCTTTGAACGTTAATTCTTTAAGAGATTTGGCGAGAAAAGAATTAACTAATGTTTTAGATTCAGTATGTTATTTTCAAAATAAAAAACTTTTGTTTAATAAATTGACCTATTTATTAACTACATATTTGGAAAAATAAATAGGTTAGAGGAAAAAAATGTTTAGTGCTAGATCCAAATATCAGTGGGCCTTTAAGTTTGATAGCTGGGTTTTCTTTATTAAAAGTAGTTATTTTCAAGAAATTACATAAATTTGTATTTGTAATTTGAAATTCTAAAACTAATAAGATGCTAATAATAGGAACATGGAGTAGAAAAAGTACATTATCTTCAACAAGGACCTTTAGAGACTGAGCTAAAAAGTTTGATTTATATATGTCGCCCGCAACTGAATTATATGAAATATATTGCTGGTATAAATTTCGTATATTTATTTTTGTTTCTATATCGACCATAATTTTTTGACTTTGTTTATCATTATGTTTTCGTAGAACATATAGCTCATCATCAAAAAGATGTTGTATCAAATTATGAATACAATCTTTTCTTTGTCCCTCGAAGGACTATGATTTGTGAAAGAGTCTTGGAAGAAGCTGGCGTCTTTGGAGATATCCTTATTTTAAATCAAATCATCAATTTCATATTTCTTTATAAAAATTTTATAAATCTCAAAACTTAATTAAGCCAAATAATTTCCTTAACTGGGTTGATTCTTACAGATTACGATCGGAGAATATCATCTTGACTTAATACCATTTGAAGATGATTTGTTATCTTTAGAGTTAGATAATACCTTTAAAGAACTCTATCTGGTATTTTATTGTTTATGACAGCAAAGGTTATAAGTAATATTAGAACAAAATTATGAATTTTTTTAAAAAAAAAATTAAATATAGGATGGTGATTATACTTCAATTTATTATGCGGCAAGAGCACTTATGAAGCTCCAGACGAAGTTCGGGCTTATTCCAAGAGTTATTGGGAAAGGAGATTGTGCTAAAGTAAGAAAGATTACATCTATTCGATTGAAATTATTCATATTAGTATATTAATTCTTATTCGTTAATCTAGCACCTAGCTGACATGTTGCTTCGTATGCGTAAAGAAGTTGCTGTTGACGACCCGTCATCCACATTATCAGTATCTCAAAACGTAGATTCTTTAATTATCTTAGATCGCTCTGTTGATCTCATTTCTCCTCTTTGCACGCAGTTAACTTACGAAGGGTTGATAGATGAAGTGTTCGGTATAAGAGCTTCACACGTAGAAGTTGATTCAGCTATTGTTGGCCCTGCTTCACAAAAATCAGCTCCAGCAGCAGCAACATCAACATCGAATGCCGCATCAACAACGTCACAACCCTCCACTCCCGCCAAAAAAAAAAAAATTCCACTCAATTCTAGTGATAGACTATTTGTTCAATTGAGAGATATGAATTTTGCTGTTGTGGGCGGAGTCCTTAACAGAGTCGCAAGAAGAATTAATGAAAATTACGAGGTACGCTGACAAAAGCTTAATCTTTATAATCTCAATAGCAATTAATATATATACTTTTTATCATTAAATAATAGGAGAGACACCAAGCCAAGACAGTTATGCAGATTCGCGAATTTATTAATAAGCTAGGAGGACTTCAATCTGAACATCAATCATTAAGGACCCGTATCCTTATTTTATTATATGAATATACGGAAAAAAAATATTTATATTTACCTTAAGCAACTTTATTCTAGATACTGGCATAGCTGAAGAAATTATGGCATATACTGTTACTCCTGAATTTAACAAAGCCCTCGAAGTGCAACAAAGTAATCATTTATTATACCTTATTTGAAGAATTTTTTTTTATAATTTGATGAATGAAAATTCATAAAAAAAAAAATTTTAGATTTGGTTGCAGGTATAGAGATAAATTTACAAAATGAACATATTGAAGAGATGATTAATCGGCAAGTACCAATCTTACAAGTTTTAAGATTATTATGTCTACTAAGTTTAGTGAATGGTGGTTTGAAACAGAAGAGCCTTGAATTTTTCAAAAAGGAAATTTTACAGGTAAACATGAATTTCATTTGAGAATCAAAATGTAGGATTATTCAATTAACTATTCGTGTATAATATTTAAGACTTATGGATTTGAACATCTTCAAACACTCTTGAATTTGGAACGCTTAAATATGTTTGTTAAACAAGGGTCTGCTAGTAGTAAATTTAACTACGTCAGAAAACATCTTCAGCTAATTGTTGATGAGGTTGATGAGCAGAGCCCTCAAGACATTTCGTATGTATATTCAGGATACGCACCGTTGAGTGTACGCCTGATACAATGTGTAACAAAAGGTGGACTGACACCAATTAGTAATCCCGTGGGTGCTAATGCAGCAGCTAATCCCATTGGAACTGGTGGTGCTGCAAAGGGTATCGTTGGGTGGAAAGGACATGAAGAAGCTTTGAAAATGTTGCCAGGTAAAACATTCGATGAAGTTCAGAAACTTGATGATGGAGCCATTCATTCTAAAAGTAAGCATAAGTTTTGTTTATAATATGCTAAAATAAGAACAAAATCAATTGATTCTCGATTTTCTTGATATATTTTTTTTATTAGAATTTGCCCAGGGACAGCAACCACGTGTTACTCTCATATTTTTCTTGGGAGGATGCACATATACTGAAATTTCAGCAATAAGATTTATGGCACAACAAGATGAAGGTAATACCTCTTTCATTTTAAATATGTTAACTAATTGTATTTTAGTTTATAATATTAAATTATCTTCTATTAAAAAAAAATAAAGGACAACGTGAATATGTCATTGCTACGACTCAAATTGTCAATGGCAATTCACTGTTGAGTTCGGTTATGCAAAAAATGGATAATTTGGGTCATTCTGCTGGTGGAAATTTTTAATGATAAAATAGAATCTTTTTTTATATTAATATGTATTTATCAAGATAGAATTATTGTATTTTATTTGTGGTTTCTTTTAAATAAATATTGATCGCCGAATGAGATATAATATTATTGTTGTCCACATTTTTTTATGATTAAATGAATGTCTTTTATAGTTTTGCCCTTATATCTTTACCAATTTTTTCACTTTCATCTTTACTTAATCTTAATCTTCCGCCGCTTCTACTTTCAACCTCTTTAAATCGTGGTATAATATGAAAATGTAAATGAAAAACTACTTGTCCCGCAATTTGTCCATTGTTTTGAAGTATATTAAAATCTTTAGTACCAACACCTTGAATTACTGCATTTGAAATTTGAGGTAATACAGAACCCAAGGAAGACATTATTGAAGGTGAAGCTAAAGTTAAACGTGAAATATGAGTTTTGGGAATTACCAGAGTGTGACCTCTAGAAATCGGAGCAACATCTAATAAAGAATTAAAATTAATGGAAGAAATTCAAAAAAAAAATTTTTAATGTTGGGCAGATAAGAAAAATTTGGATAATTTACTGTACCCAGAAAAGCTAATATTTCATCATTTTCAAAAACTTTTATACAAGGCAATTGACCGGATACAATTTTACAAAAAGTACAATCCTTTTGGTCTTCTGAAGGTACTGAATTAGACTTAACATTCAGTGAAAGATTTCGAGGAGATTCAGGAGTAATGCGAGGAAAAAGCGGATTATTAATAGGTGACATGTTTCCAAAAAAAAATGATTACAGAATTATCTGAAAGCACCAAAACGAACATCGTGTAATATAAATAATGTGTTTGTCTGTTCGTTAAACCCAATTAGTCCTTGAATTTGATCCTAAATTGGTCTAGAGTTAACAGGTCCTAGAACCAGGTCCTGAGTCGGAGTCTTGGAGATCTAGATTTTAATTTTTTATAAAAAGAATTATTTTACATATTTTACATTACTTTAAAGGTAAAACTGTAACAAATTATATTGTATTACAAATTAACTCTATATATAAATTGTAAAATTAAAATTGGTTTAATACCAAATTCAATCAGTTTTACTAGTAATACTAATTTTTTATTATAATAATTTTATAATTTTATATAATTTTTTTTTAACTATAGTGTTAACTTAACAATAAAATTAGAGTACTTATAAATCTTTCAATACTGAAAAAATAAAATTTCAAAGAAATAAACTGGTGACTTTATTTTTTAAGTACTATTAAATTACTGATCAAATTTTCAAAAAAAATGTTTACATAAAAAGTTATAAGTTAACTTAAATTTAAAATAAAAAAAGTTATATTATCTAAAGGAAAATAGTAAAGAATCATTTGCTACAACTTTATTAATATTACCTTTTTTTAACACTTTATTACATTTGATTTAGAATTAATTTACAATACCAAAATCAAATATTTTATTTATCAATAATTTCTGATTACAAATTTAAAAAGAGTCTCTTGAATTAAAGTTTAAAACCACTATATTTATTATATTTATAGTTATTTTATTTCTGTTTCTGTTTTTTATTTTTAAAAAATAACAAATTATTCTTTACTAACTAATTGTATATGCAAACTATTACTAATTATATTATATAACTATAAATAAAACTAATAATAAAACTAATTAAAATTTTGTATTTAATAATTACTTAATAAAAAAATATATCTTGTGTTAACTAATAATACTAAAAATGAAAATTATACACTGGTAAAAAAATGGTCTATCCTACACATATCCTACACATATCTTACATATATTGGGTACTCAAAATGTAGAAAATCATACACATATTATACACATATCGGGTACTTATATATATAGTATACCTATCAGGTACCTGATATATGTATGATATATATATTAGTACCCGATATGTGTATGATATGTGTATTATTTGTGTATGATTTTCTACATTTTGAGTACCCAATATGTGTAAGATATGTGTAGGATAAATCATTTTTTTACCAGTGATAATAACTCTTCCTACCAATCGCATAGACCATTTTTTTTTACAAAATTTCAGCAATAATATTTTGAAGAAAAATACCAAAAATATGGTTTCCACTGCACTAACCTATACCTTTGAGAACATGAAAACACTTCTCAGCCTATTTGATAATGAGATATTCTACACTTTATTTGAAAAAATGCTGCAAATTCTATGTTCTATTAGTGTAACTGGGATTAGTCAAACCCTCGAAGAAATAGAACTGGCAACATACAAGCATTTAAATAACCTTAATAAAACCTTTACTGATGAACTCCAAAAAGTTGGGGTAGAAGACTTCGACAGCTTTCTTTTTCTCTTCTATACTTTCAAAGATATGTGAGTTATGCTTCTATATGAAATGTCAAAAAGCTTTATGAGAAAAATGGAAAAGCATTATGTGAGCAATAAACAACAACAGTTTAGAGAAAAGAAGTGCGTAATATATGCTGAAATCACAAAAGATTCTGATTCCAATGATTCCTGATCTACGTCACCATCCCTAAGGAGAAATGAAACACTCAAAACACTTTTAAGAAGAGTAATACACAAGACAAACTGCAGCAGCAAAAGATGAAGAAGTTCAAGTTTACACTGGAGAAAACGATTTTGACTGTCATGACTGGATATGTGCTACAAAATAAGGCTCACATTTATAAAATAGTTATTTATGATATCCCCTCTACCATGCTGCAACTCGATATCCTTACGAATCTAAAGAAATAGGATCAAGTTATTGCATTCAAAGTCAAGACGCAAAAGAAGTATTTGATTGTGACTGTATCTATCAATTTCAATGAGTGGCTTTACACAATTGAAATAATGGAATATAGACTGTTTCATTTAGAGGAATGCCTGTTAAATAGTTCCCTGCATCCTGAAATTTGAAGCAACGCAAAGAACGAAAAAGATTTCAGGCTATTATTATGGATATATCCAAATCTGTTACTAATAATGTTGTTTACAATGCAGAGAATCCTGCCCAATCAATGCTATCGCAACTGGATAGTGCTTTAACTTTCAAGATTATTCAAAACTATAGACGTAGAAAGTTGATTGTGTATTTTAACATTTGGGCAAGCCTGGATAAAGTACTCAATATAGAATTTAACTTTGAAGAATTTAAAGGTATTTGGACTATATATTTTTCGCCTACCTTGAATCAGCCTAAAAATAAGCCACCAAAGAAAACAGACTCTATTCAAAAGCAGAATCAAAAGAAGACTCCAAATGTTACACAAAAAGTGGATAACCATAATGATAGACAGCTTAAGAAGGGGAAGTTCTTTGAAAAAAAAAAGCAATCTACTTCAAATAATAAGAATTTTGATGGCAATGATAAACTTACAATTTTAGCTGAAATTCAGGTGTTGTTAAGATCACTGGCCAACTGACAGGATGATTGGGCCAAATATGGAGTAATAGAGTTATGGAGTGCTCACTATCATACACATTAAATATTAACCCTTTTTTTTACCCTACTTTTTTTGTTAAAAATCCTCTTTTTTTTTTCTTGCTGTTTCATAATGGATCTCGCTAAAATTTCCTTATAGATATAGACTAAGAGGAAGGGATTCCTTCTAAGAACGATTATGCGCTTGACGTAGAAAGTACTCTTATAGTTAAATTCCGCCTAATAGTGTACACATGAAGTCCTTTTCAGAATAACGAGTGCTTTAAATCTTACTGATTATTAGTTTATTATAGTTTATTTTTATTTGTATAATGTATTATGAACACTTTTATTCTAATAAAGGATTTAAATATGCTGCCATTGGAAAAAAAAAAAAAAAAAAATACTAAAAAATAATATCTCCTTTTAAAGTAATTTCACTTATAATAATGTTAAGAAATAATATCTTTTTATAAAGTAATTTTCATTTATCAATATAAATGATCTTTATAAATCTATTGTATTATGCTTTGTTATATTGATCATTATTATATATTATATGATTATTATTATATTTTTATTTATTTTATTTATTGTATTATATATTGCATCTTTCTTTTTAGATATCTTCTTGCAATACTTTAAATTTAAAATATATAAATCTTCATTTTTAAAGTATTAAAGCATTTTGATATTACAATATATTAACTAATATATTAGCAAATTTGTATAATTATATGTCAGCTAAATATAATAAATTAATTAAATAATTGGATTTTCTATTTGATTATAATATAAAATTATATATATATATAAAATAAAATTTATGCATATTTGTGCATATATGCTAAAGATGGTCAATGGTCCCATTCGATCTGTCTCAGTCTGATCCAAGCCAGTCCCAGTCTTTGTAGGACTGGACTGCAGTCTTAAATCTACGGTCCTAATAAAGACTGATCACTGCGATTGGTCAAATATGATTACGTGATATTATACAAGTCCAAAAAAGGAAATTTTATTTCCTTCCAAAATGGAAAAAATAGTTATACAAGAATCTAAAAAAGGATATTTTTGTGATGATCATTTAATTTTAGCTGGAATTATTATAAATTTTAAAATTTATGAAAGACCAATGGAAGATTGCGTTCTACACAGTCTAGTCTTTTTGCATGTAGGACCAGAAAGGATTATGGTCTTTAGGATCGTTGACCATCTTTAATATATGCATTCCTCCATTTTTGGTAATTTTATATAGTAAATTTGTTGATCATTAATTATTACATGACTTTATTATTAAAATCCTGATTTTTTTAAATATTTATATTACAACTTTTATGTATATATTATAGAGTCTTAAAAATTTATTTACTATATGTTAAGGTTGCTTGCCGAAACCTAGGGGTTTAGGCAAGATGGCGTTTCGCCGAAAAGCGAAATTCTGCCGAAACTATATTAAAGTTATATTAAAAAACTGGCGAAACTTTGGAGAAAGGCGAAACTGCCGAAACTTATTATAAATGCCGAAACTGCCGAAACTCTGCCGAAACTATAATAAATCTATAGTAAAATTTTGACGAAACTAATCGTAGGATTTTAAAGAGGTTTAGACAAGCAACCTTACTATATGTATTTTTGCCTAATTTATAATTTTACTTAATGAGTCATAAAAAGTTAAAATCTTATTTTTAGTTTTTTACTTTTATATAAGATATATATATTACACAGATGTATACAAATTTTAAATCATTAAAATAAATAAATAATAAAATATAATAAAATAATAAAATTAAAGTTTACTATCTTTAATTATAGAATCTATAGGCTAAAAGTAATTCAATTGAAAAAACAACTTATATAAATTAATATTTATTAATAAAGTATATATTTTATTTGAATGATAAATAATACAGAATTTTTAATAAATTTAGACATTGTATATATTTGTAAACTAATTTTACTTATATTATATTTAATAAAATTTCTGCATATTTTGTAAAATAAAAAAAAATCAAAAAATATAAAATAACAAAATAAAATAATAAAATTAAAAAATTAAATGAAATTAAAAATAACTAATCAAATAACATTAAAATAAAATCAATATAAAATAAAAAATAAAATATATTTTGCCTTTTACATAATGCTTAAATCTTGTATTCTATATAAAATAATATACAAATTTTTTATAATATATGTATTTTACAAATTTATTTATTTTCTTTAAGTAATCAGTGATTACTATATAGCAAAATATCAAAAAAAAACTTCATATAAAATGGTTAAAAAATCATGATTTTGAATTTCTATTTTTTGACTTAAAATATTCTTCTTATTTAAAATTTTTGGTTTAAAACTTTTATATGAAGTTTTAAAATTTTCATGAATATCTATTTATTTCTGGTAAATGTAAAATAAAGAATATTATTAGTTTTCATTTTACTACTAGTTTAATTTTGAGTCAACAATGGCCATATAAAATTTATTTTTAAAAATATATCCATTATATAAATATACACTTTTTTTTTATTTTATTATTTTTAAATATTAGTTTTCTATTTCATATACTTTAAACAAATTTAAAATATAAATCATTTTAAAGGCTCTTTAAATATATCAGATATGATATTTAAAATTTTAAATAATATTAGATTTATTTATTATCTTTATTTTTTCTTTGTCTTAATATTTTTATCATGGTCATACTAGCTATTTTAAATGTTATATAATAGTTAATTTTATATACAGTCAGACCTCTATATACTGATACAATATATACTGATATTTGCTTATACTGATGATTTTAATTTTACTATTTTTCAATTAATAAAAAAACTTTGTTATACTGATGTTTTATATGTATATATAGATCTAGTTTATATACCAATATATTAACTATTTAAGATTAGATCACATAAATAAAGTTACGCAATTTTCCCTACTTCTAATTCTTGATGTAATTATATAATTGATTGTAATTATATAATTGATACAATTTTGCTTCTAATTCCTAATGTAATACATAATTGATATAATTGATATAATTTTGTTAATAAATTTTTTAAATTTTATAAAATGTAGATTAAAGTTGTATGTTTATAATTTATATATATTAAAATATTTTATACTAATATTAATTACATTATTTATAATAATATCGGTATATAAAATTTTTTTTATAAACTGATAATTCGATATACCAATACTTTTTTCCAAAACAGCAATATCAGTATATAGAGGTAGGTTTGACTGTACCAGTAAATTATTTAACTAGTTATTTTATCTAATATATAATACAAACTGCAGTAGACATTTACTATAGTAAAATTTAACTAAAAAGGATACTCTACTCTTAAAGTATTAATAATAATTGTAACTATTCAGATAGGATTATAAACATTCTAAAGGTCTCATTAGGAATATTAGCAGAATACCAAAATCCTTTATTGAAATATGCAGTTATACTATATATATTGATTCACTATGGTGCAGTTTAATTACTCTAATTTCTGTACCTTTATATTATTAGTAATAGTGTCTGCAGTAAAATTCTTTTAATTTCTGTGATCGTACTAAGAATGATTAAACCTATTAATTAAATTATAATATTTATAATCATATAATTTTATTAAGTATAATAAGATTTTTTCTTTTTTTTTAATAATTATATAATATATATTACTTTTCTTATTTTTTTTTTTTTTTTTTTGT